GAAGGCTGCATCCTCTATGATCATCCAGAGCTTCCTTGGGAAGGACAGTCTGAGGAAGGCATTGTTCTCTTCCTCATTGGCTGTTTCTGGATTCAGGCCCTGTCGGGGTGGGTTGTTGGGAACCCAGATCTGGACTTTCAGGTTGGTCCCGCAGCTTCTCCAAAGCCTCCCCTGAATCCACATTTGGATCTGGGGAGACATCAGGGGGGTGCCCTGCTGTGGCCTCTCCATCAGTTGATGGGGCCAGCGGGGCTGCGCATGTCTTGTGGGAACTCTGACTAACCATGAAGCCAGTCTAGCTCAGGAGCATTCTCTACCCAAGCAGTGAATGCTCAGGGCAGAAGGGCCTCAGACCAGGGTCGGGATGCCCAATAAATATTGTCTGGAGAGTCTAGAATCTCGGCTGTGGGCCATGCAGCCAATTAAGTGGTCAGCTTCCTTATTTCCTTCATGATGTCACAGAGGTGATGTGGAGAGGCAGCCCTGGCCCAGTGTGGGAGAGGGGAGGATGGGAAAGGAGATGGGATCCCCAGCTTGTCTCTTTGCTGAAAGTACAGAAAAGTATGTTTCAGGTTGCCTGAAAAGGCTTCCATCTGCTGCCAGGCGCCTTGTTGTAGGAGGCCAGGCCCTGGATGGGTTGACAAATGTGCTCCTAGCTTCACGCCCCTCCCTAGTAATGGGCAGACCTGTGGCTGGCTTTCTTGAAGAGCCAGGCCCCAGCGAATCCTAGCTTAGCTAACACCAAGAGAGACCCCAGGAGTCAGATGGAACTCTCATGGCTGTCCCTCCCAGAAGATGGGGTCCGTAGTGTCCTGGTTGGCCTGAGTTGGTGGCCCCCCCCATCCTTCCTCCTCTTCTGGCTTTGTCCTCTTCCATTTGGTGCTGCTGGTTGGTAGGTCGTGTTCAGTCAAGAGTCCTGTTGTCCTGCCCCCACCGCCCCTCAGGTTGAACTCTCCCCAGAGTAGGGCTGTGCTCGAGCATAGTGGGAGCGACCTCACATTCCATTTGACTGCTCCCAAGCACCTGAGACACAGACTCCCAAGGAGTCCATGTGGGAGGGCATAGCCAGGCACTCCACTGAGCTTGCAGCCTGCCAAGCCCTGCCCACCCCCAGACCTCATCCTGCTGCAGATCACAGGCTATTGTCTTCAGTTTCCATTTCTTCCCATAAAGACTGCTCTTGTGGCCCTAGAGTGCTCAATATGGGAAAACCTGTGTGTGTGTGTGCTTTCCCCATCCCCTTCCCATAGCCTTGGATTCAGTCTCCCTTGAGGCTGCCTCAAAAGCCCTATTTCCTTTTGTCAGTGGGGTGGTTGGGCTTCTGCTACCCCCATTCCTGGCCTCCCATGTCCAACTTGGGTCTCCATGGGTACTTGCCCTTTGAAGAACTTGACTGGGGGCTCAGGGTACAGCCTGTTCTGTTGAAAACAAGCATTTCACTGGTCCTCTTCTCTGTCCCTGCCCCTGTCCCCACCACCACTGTGGACCTGTTCTCCCTTACCCAGATCCAGGTCCATCAAGTGATTTTGCTGGCTCTCTGGTTAGACGCTTTTCAATGGGCCTGCTTTACATACACTCACTCCCAGGGACATGTGTGACTTGTTGAGTTAGATGTGACCAAAGGAAACCCCTGTCTATCTGTATTTGAAAATGGATGAGAGTCTGGGTGTGGGACTGGAGGAAATCCTAATGAGTCACCTGTCTTCACTGTAAATGAACAATTGAGCAGTGGGTTTGGAGATGCGTGTTCTCTGGCCTTTGTGGGCCACTGTTCTTGAACATCACCATGTAGGGGACAGACTGGCACCTTGGAAAGGCCTGTGTGAAAGGACCCGAGGGCACTGTCCCCCGGTTCTGCCACTCAGCAGGCTCATTTGCCCTGTGTGAGGGCCACAGCCTGGTGTCTAAAAGGGGACCGCTAAGAGGGTGTGGAAGAGGCTCTCCCAGGGGTCATTCAGGCTAAGGACTGGCAGCATGGATGGAGCTCCAGGCCTTGATTTGGGCTTGCTCCCTGGCCTTTTTGCTTCTAAACAGGTTGACAAAGCATTCCTTCAGGTCGATTACTCCGGTTGGGACATGACCCTGGAGGCTGTGAACGTCGGTGGGGGCCCCTGGTGGCTCCTCAGAAGGGGATGGAAAGGCATGGCATCTGCGGGCAGTCTGGCTAGGTGGCCTTTCCTGCTGCTGCCCCTTCCCACTCCCACACTCGGGGCCCCTCCTTGCCCCCTGGGTCCTAAAGGAGCTGCCTTTCCTGGTTTCCCTCCCCGAGGCACCACCCAGACCCTCGCAGTGGGTTTGTGTGTCACCAAGGGGTCTTTGTCAGCCATGTCTCGGGACACTTGTGTTGTGCACACACAAGCCCTCATGACGTTCAATACCTGCCTTTCTCAGCCTGGCTTTCCTGCCTCTGTGCTTGGTGGCCCAGCCCCAGTGTCCCCAGCCCAGAGGCCCTCCAGCTGTTCCCCTCCCTCACTACAGCTAGGGAGACCTGGAGCCTCAGGGGTCCACCCATGTTACCTTCCCTCCCGTATTGGAGGAGGCTCCTGTAGGGGTCTTATCCGAGTGGGAATTGGGGCCATAGAGTCAGATCCTCCCTTCCTCCTGCTCAGTGAGGAGCTGGTCAGCCTGGCAGGTTCAGTTGGGCAGGAGGCCCCATGGCAGCAGCAGGGACAGGGCACCACCCTCACGCGGGAGGCGCTGGAACTGGACAGAGATGCCGGTCCCCGGTAGGGTCAGTTCTCAGTAAACCACAGAGCAGCCCCGACAGTGCTTCTGATTCTCCTTGTCCCCTTCCTTCCCTGGGCCAGCTTTTGTCACCTCAGAGGCATCATGTAGCACTGAGAAGAGGAAGGTGTGAGAAGTCAGAAGGTCGGGCCTTGGCATGGGGTGGGCGGGGACTCCAGAGGAATTGAGACCAGGGTTCTGAGCCCACCCAGCCCTCACTAGCATGTGGTCCTGCAAAGATGCCCAAACCTCCAAGGCCTCAGTTCTTCATCTTGGAGGCGAACAGGTGTGAGGATCCCTGTGTGTTCAGCTGCAGGATGCGCCTGAGGGATGAGACTGAGCTCGCAGGGCCTGAAGGCCATAGGCATCGTGATGGTGGGGCAGGAATCTCTCACACTGTTGCTCCCAGACACTCCTCCACTATCGACTGGATGGGGTTGGCGGCTTTGTGATCCAGGGCGTGTCAAACAATATGCACCTCAATAGGATGTGAAATAGCTAATCAGCCAAATAAGATGTTTCATAGATAAAACTATGTAACTTTTCCAGTTAGACCATTGTGGACCATAGTGTTAGTCGCTCAGTTGTGTCTGACTCTTTGCGACTCCATAGACTGTAGCCCACCAGGCTCCTCTGTCCATGGAATTCTCCAGGCAAGAATACTGGATTGGCTGACCTCCTCCAGGGGACCTTCCAGACCCAAGGATCGAACCCAGGTCTCCACATTGCGAACAGATTCTTTATTATTTTAGCTACCAGGGAATGCCCATTTGCAGTTAGAGGACCTGTTAAATTTGGGTGTGGAGGAATGTTCCAGCAGGACATGACAAGATGCTCCAGGAAATAGAAGCAAGAACCTCTGTTTGCCTCTATTCCAGCTGGATTTCCACCCAAACCCTTACTTTCTGTAACTTCAGACCCAACCAATGTCAAGTCCTTGCTCGCAATGGCCAGTTACAGTCTATAATTAAAAGCTAATTAACACCTTGGGTTCTGGCTCCCTGGGACCAGGAAAGAGAGGGCCAGTCTATGGATTTCTGGGCATCACTTCAAAGGAGTGTGACCGGAGTTCTGCAGGTTTCCTAGCAGATAGGGGGTAGAGAAAACTCCTACTTTGTGCCCTGTGGTCAACAGCAATGCGGCAAGAGCCAGGATCCCTCCCTCCCCCAGAAAGAGATCTCTCTGGGGTTTACCCAAGATGCAAAAGGATGCCACACAGCAGTGTCCCGTTTTGGTTTCTCCTCACCCCTAAGACACACCTCACGTGATTTTGGCTCCTAGACCAACATCACTCTAGGTGTGGGGGTGTCCTGATTCTCCTAGTGTCCCCACTGCTAACACAAGGCCTTTCACAGAGCAGAGGCTCCATGAAGGTCTTGGGAATTAATGAGCCAAGGAACGGGGGCTATTTGACTCAAATTAATTGTCTGCTATTTCCTTAGATATCCCAGGCAAATCCAAATAAACAGAGATCCCTTAGCTTTACAATATGACATGCAAAAGTGTAAGAAGCAAGAATTCCAACTATCACTTATTATTTTCTAATTCTTCCAACAACCAATTTAATAAGTAAGTTCACGTTTCCAAAATCATTCTAATTCCATACTATGCTGTGCAGGACCATGAAATAAAATGGAAGAGTTCCCAATCTCTTTTACGAAACAGCAAAACTCTTGTTCTTGAACTAAGTACAAATACACTGTGATCAATGTCACTGACATTGTTAGATACTGGAATGCACTGTCTTCTATTAAAAGGAATAACATTTGAAAACTTCCTAAAGAAAAGAGAGATGAGTCTCCATGTCATTGTAGAGAACAGGAACACAAAGATGCCACACACTGGGTTCCCCCAACGAGCCCGGGCTCTCATTCCTGAGAAGGCTGACCAGTCCCTCTTCAATCATAGAGGGAAGGATAGCCTCCTTTCTTGTCACCCATGAAAGTTGCTGGACATGGGCCTGGAAGAAGTTTGGCTGCTGCTCTGGCTTAGGGTCCCTCTTCCTCCACCCTCGAGCCTCTGTTGAGGGGATGGAAGGAGCTGGGACCCCTTCAACCCACTCTGTCCAGATACTCCAATACCTTAAACTTGCTGGTCTCTTCACAGACCCAGGGACCCCACAGGAACTCATAGTGGGCAGGGTGGCTGTCAGGCACCTGCTGGTACTCCGAGTACCCCTCCCGCACCCACACTTGGGTCAGCAGCTCTCTGGGCTCCCCATAGATGTAGTGCTCCCTCCCAGGACACAGCCCCATCCTGCAGAGTTCTGCTCAAACCTCCTCCTTAGGGGCACAGTCTTCATGCCCGATGATCAGGCGCAGGATCACCACCAGGAAGCTGGCCTTGGGCAACCTCTGCCCATCCCTCAGCATTTTATTGAGGGTGAGGCTCAGGGTGGGGACCAGGACGTACTTGTGCTCACTGGAGTCTACCTCCTTCACCTCCAAGACAAAGACCACCGGCAGGTTCTGCCCGGCTTGACAGAGGACCACAGGGAAGTGGTCCTGGTAATCTTTGAGGACACTATTCAGTGCTTCTGCCTTGGTTATCGGCTCCTTGGTGATATACATGCTGAGCAGAAATCACACCAGCTCATTCATCTTCACCCACAGTGCATCTCAGAGTGAGGACCTGGCACCTTCTTGGTCACGTAAGGTGCCTGGCACTTCATCTTGCCTGCTGAGACCGTGCTCTTCAGATTGGCTCACCAGAGTGGAAGCCAAGGCAGTGGGAGAGGGGCAGATACCCAGAGGGCTCTGAGGGAGACTGGCTGTTGCAGCAGCAGCCACCTCCCCCAGGGTGTCCCAGATCAGGAGAGAGGAGGAGGAGGACGCTGCATCTCCTTCCTCTGCCTGTTCCTCCTCCAGCTCCACCTGCTCCACCTCCTCCACCTCCTCCACCTCCCCAACCTCCTCCAGCTCCACCTGCTCCACCTCCTCCACCTGCTCCACCTCCTCCACCTCCTCCACCTCCCCAACCTCTTCCCCCACCTCCTCCCCCTCCTCCACCTCCTCCCCCACCTTCCCCACCTCCTCCTCCACCTCCATCACCTCCACCTCCTCCACCTCCACCAACTCCACCTCCACCACCTCGTCCACCTCCACCACCTCCACCTCCTCCACCTCCCCAACCTCCTCCACCTCCTCCCCCACCTCCTCCACCTCCTCCACCTCCTCCTCCACCTCCACCTCCACCTCCTCCTCCACCTCCTCCTCCTCCACCTCCACCACCTCCACCTCCACCACCTCCTCCTCCTTCACCTCCTTCTCCTCCACCTCCTGTACCTCCTCCTCCTCCACCTCCTCTTCCTGCTCTGCTTTCTCCCCCTCCTCCTCCCCCCAAAATAATTGTGCCTCCAAAAGGTCCTCCTTCTCTCTTGGATCCTGAAAGACTCTCTCAGGCTGGCAGAGCTCATGTATCCCAGGCATGATGACTGGGATCAAACCACAGAGAGGAGTGGGGCAGGTGGACAGATGGAGACCACGAGCCTGCAGGAGAGAGTGGGTGTGAATGGCCTCAACGCACCCTGGATGGTCTGATACAGGTCTCCTCTTGAGGGGTGCTCTTGGGCCTCATAGGGGTGCTCCTCCTGGGCAGGCTGTCCCCTGGCTACCCCAAGGAGGAAGGGTGGTGGCTCCCTAGGGTGCAGTCAGCAGAGCCCTGAGTTCTGGGGCTGACACGGTGGAGGGATCTGGGCCTTGTGGGATCCCCTCTGTTCCAGGATGAGGTAACTCTGGTGCATGATCATGGCACCCTTCTCACCTTGACTCCTGGCACTGCCTGGACCTCCTCTGCTCTGACCTCAAGACAAGGGCCTCAGAACTCCACCTTTGCCTCCTGGTTCCTGGAGCTCCTGTGAGAGAAATGGAGGGGTCACCTAGGGTGCACACTGTAGCAAAACCCTAGGCCTTCTGTGCATGTTGGAGGGGTGGACTCTCTGAAGTCCCCCAGCTGTGGGGTGAGAGGTTCCCCAGGGGCTCCCTTGTAGTGCTCCCCTTTTCCCTGGCACGACCTGGACCTTCCCCTTTGGGGGCCTGCAGGGAAACTCAGAACAAGACCCAAGTCTGGATAGAAAGCATTAAGGGGCCCCACCTGTGGCTGCACCTGCCCAGGGCCTCCTGCGGGTCCTAGGCTGGGGAGATGCTCGGTCCTCAACTCCTCCTCATGTCCTGCCTGGCCTCCCAGCACTGACCACAGGGGCTGGTTCAGCTCAGGCCGGGGTGTCCAGCCCCTGCCGACCTGAAGCCTCTGCCGTCCACCTGAAAACCTCACCTCCCGAGGCCCCAATGCTATAGGTGAATAAACTACTCACCCTGCTCACCCTGCTCTGTGGCCTCTGAGACCCGCCACACAAGGCTAGCAAACCTCCCTGCCTTGGAGTCCAACCGCCTCAGTCCTTTTTCACATGGAGCCAGGGCTCCAGGCAGGACCAGGGATTTTCCCGTCTGCCACTTTGACCCTGCCACTCTCACAAGGTCCCGAGGCACTCTGAGGCCTGGATGTCAGGATATGCTGCACGTGATCTTACCGCCTGGGGACAACCCGGGTCCCCCTGTTCTGGGGTCCAGCTCCCCTCACTCCTCCCTCAGGCTCCTCACCTTTACTCCCGCTAGGACCTGTGCTCCATCTTTTCCCCAACTGAGGCCCTGCTCCTCACACCAGCACCTCAGTCTCTCTGAGACCCAGATGTCAGGATGTCTGCCCACTGTACTAGGACCCCAGTCTGAGACCCGGATGTCAGGAACTCTGCTCCCTATAGCAGGACCTCAGTCTGAGACCTGGATGTCAGGAAGTCAGACCATGCGTGTTGTGGTCATCATATCCCAGGGTCTCTCAGGACCGACAGCAGGGATGGGCTTTTCTGAGGTTTCTTCTCACTGGGGTCCAGGGTCCCCTCAGTCCTCCCTCAGGCACCTCACTTTGCCTCTGGGTAGGACCTCGGAATCTCTCCTCTCCCCAAACGAGGCCCCGTTCCTCTTAACCAGGTCCATAGTCTTTCTGAGACCTGGAATTCCAAAAGTCAGGATCAGCCTAGAACACTATTCCACACCAATACCTCCCAGACCACCCAAATGTAGTGGGTGGGGGTCTGTGGGGTCCCCTCTGATTGGGGTCCAGGATCCCCCAAGTCCTCCATCAGTGTACACCCTTTGAGTCCCATGAGGACCTGGACCCTCCCCTCTGCCCACATGAGACCCAACCCCTTATCCTAGGTCCCCAGTCTCTCTGAGACCCTGATGCAGAAGTCAGGACACGCTGCCAAGTGCTCATCCCAATGCCAGGGATGCCCAGGACTGGCAGCAGAGGGGTGGAACTGTGGGGTCACCTGTGTTCTCCCATTGGGTCATCATCCTGAGCCCTGGAAGGTCCTGGGATGCCAAAGTCCTCAGCAGAGGCCAGACCCTCACACCAAGGGCCTTGCTGCCCTGAGGCCCCAGGAGGAGGCTGTGGCCATTACAAGCCCAGGGCTTCTTAGTGGTTGAGGATGCCAAGAGCTGAGATGATGTCCCGGGAGTCACTCAGCCTTTCCTGTGTTCTTCAACTTGACTCTCAGCTAGTCTTGGCACTGCCCTCTACCCCCCTGATTTTACTTCCCATAGAGACTCAGGCCCTGTCGAGCCAGTACACCCGAGAGGGAAACCGGGGGTGGGGGACTCATTCCCACAACCCTGCCAGAGTCTTCCAAGGCTGAAAGCAGTGGCGACCTGTATGTCCTGGGGCCCGAGAGCCCCCTGCCCCCAGGGTGCTACCTTGACTCCTAGCATGGCTGGGCTCCTTCACCCTGCTGACCTGAACCTGAAGTCTGTGACCCAGGCCCTCACTTCTTTCTCAGAGGAATCTGTAGCGTCACATCTGGATGCCACACCCTGTGATTCCCCACGGTTGTCAGGAGGGCAGCACATGCACTCCCTGGGAACCCTCCGTCTCCTCTGGTCCTCACCTCGAGTCTCCACAGGACGTGGGGTCCTCCCTCTGCCCATCTGAGACTGCACCCCACAGACCAAATCTCTGGCTCCCTGAGTTCACTGAGAAAGTGGGCGTGGTAGAGGGGTTCTTAGCCTGACAGCCCGGCTTGGGGTCCCCAGTAATAGTAGAGTTGCATTCTATGGGACCATCTGTTCCGGGGTGTCATCCTCACTCAGGAGGGGGCCTCCTTGTCCCTTGAGAGAAGGCTGCAGTGACAGCACAGATGCTGGATGGAGGGTAGCTGCACCCATAGTAAACACTTGGTGTTTACTAAACTTCACTGTGTGGTGGTTACTGTCAAAGCTGGGAAATAGACTCACATTGTTCTCTGTGTGGGGGAGGAGAGGTGATGCTTTGTATAAATGGTCGAACCAGGAAAGAATTCTTAGCCTATAGGTGTCCTCTAGTTCCAATAGGTGTTCCTACTTTTCAGTCAGGGAAAGCAAGGGAACTTGAAATTAGAAAGGTATGAGATTATATAGATGCCAACTTTTAAAAACTGAAACAAGCAGAAAAGGATTCTGATCTGCAGAATGGTTTCCAGAGTGTCATGTGGATGCTGTATCGGAGCCAGAAGAGACAGCATCGCCTATGAGATGTTTAAAATTTCACTCACACTGAAAACTGTTTCTTGCTGAAATCTGGAAGCATCACATGGGTGAATGACACTACAATTGCAGTGAGGTTTACTCCACTAGAAAATAAGCAAGGAGGGAAACTAGCAAGGAGGGATGGAGTTCAAGCAAAACTCTTGGCATGTTGATATGATACATTTATAAATGGTGAAATGATCACTGACATAGTATTAGCTATCACCTCCATCTTGTCACATTTCTTTTTTGTGGTGAGAACATAGAAATTCTACTCTCTTAGCAATAGTCAAGTATTTGATACAGAATTGTGAGCTATGAGCATCCTGCTGTACACTGGATCCCAAACCTTGTTAGTATTATAAGTGGGGCCTAGTACCCTATGAACAATCTCTCCCTATTTTCCCATCTCCTAATTCTTAGTAAACATCACTCTCTTCTCTGTTTCTCTGACCATTTTACTTTTAAAATTTATTTTTATTTATTTTTTTAAATTTTTGGCCCTGCTGCTAAGCATGTGGGATCTTAGCTCTGAAACCAGGGATCAAATCCATGCTCCCTGCATTGGCTGTGTGGAGTCTTAGCCACTGGACTGCCAGGGAAGTCCCAGTTTGTCCTTTTTGGACTCCACATGTAAGTGATAACAAACTGTATTTATCTTTTTCTGTCTCACTTATTTTACTTAGCATAATGCCCTCAAGCTCCTTCCAAGTTGTTGCAAATGGCAGGATTTCCTTCTCTCACATGGCTGTATATTGAATATGTTGCATCTTCTTTATCCATTCATCCACTGACAGACACTTAGGTTGTATCCATATTTTGGATATTGTGAACAATGCTTCAATAAATGTAGGAGTGAAGATATCTTTTTGATATCCCATTTTCATTTCCTTCTGAATATACACTCAGAAGTGGAATTGCTGGATCATATGGTAGCTTCCTTGGTTGTATTCTCTGATGCACATAGTTTTTTTTTTTTTATGAGGTCCAATTTATTTATGTCTTTCTTTTTTTTGACTCTGTTTTTGGTGTCATATATATGAAATCATTACCATCTAAAATATTTCTAGATCTATAAATAAACACAGGATAGGAAGTATGCATATAATCCTTT